CATGTGCAGGGAGGGCTCTACACCATTCAGGAATATGAGGGACAAATATCCCTAGAACCACACTACTCAGTGTGTCCGGAACCTGATCTCAGAAGGGTGGAGTTGTCAGGAGTTAGGAGGGTGGGCCTAGTGTATCTCCCATGAGGGGGAGGTGCTGGTTGGGCTTGGGGGAAGGTAGGGGGAGTGGCCCCCAACCCAGAGCTACACAACTCAGTTTTTCCTGAATTTTGCTCAGACCTTGTTGGGGTGGAGCCACCAGGAATTTGGAGGGTGGGGCCACCAGGAGCCCATAGAGTGGGGCTAGCAGGTCTCCCCTGAGATGCAGACACCAGTCAGTTCACCAGATAGTGGGGATAATGGCCTCTCCCCAAATCTATGCAACTCAGTCAATAACACCCCTTGAGTCTGCACAGACCCCTATACCCCAGCCCAGGAAGCTGACTCCTCAGCAGGACTCTGCAGGGTGGGACAAAAAGTAGTCTATAGGGTGGGGCTATTGCATTCCCCAGGCTGACGCCAAATGGAGTGGGGGTGCTCCACCCAAGGACGATGCTGTCTGCAGTGTGGGAGAAGAACTCAGCTCAGTGAGCCTGGAAGCTGTCCCTTCAGCTCTCTCTTCAGAGCCACAAACCCCAGTCTCTCCTCACATGATTCTAGTCTGCTTCACCCTCCCTTCGCCAGAGCCAAGGTGAGTGGCTGCAAAGGAGATTTTGTGCATTAGCCCTTTAAGGGGTCACCTGTGTCTCTAGCAGACCTGTGTCTCTCCCTGGTGGGCAGAATCCCCCATGATTTTTACAGCCAAACGTTAAATGGGTATCTCTTCCTGGCTCTGGTGCTCTTCACTGGGGAGCCCAGCTTAGGGTTGAGACTCCACACTTCTCAGAGGAAATCTTTGCAGCTAAGGTATCTCTCTGCCTATGGATATGAGTTTAGCCCTTTTCGTGTCTCCCCCACCTTCCTACCAGTTTCAATGTGGCGTCTTCTGTAAATCCTTGGTTATAAGACTTCTTCAACAAGTCTTCACTTGGTTATTCAGGATGAATGTTCTGTATCTTAGTTGTAAATACAGTTTGGTCCTGGGAGGAGCTAAGTGTAACATCCACCTACTCCACAGCCATCTTGGATCCTATGTAATGAGATCACATACTTCCCATGAGGTAGCAGTAATATTATCCTCATTTGAAAGATAATAATGTCACCTGTAGATGAATTAATTTGTTATAACACTTCTTAAAATTTGAGATATAATTCACAAAAAAGAGTACATAGATTTTAAATGTACTATGATGAATTTCAACAAACACATTCCCGTGTAACCACAATCCCAGTCAAGCTACAGAACTCTTACATTACCCTGTGAAGTTCCCTCATGCCCTTTCCAGGCATTACTCCCTACTTCCTATCAGGGGCGATCATTACTCTGACTTTCATTGTCATGGATTAATTTTGCCTATTCCTGAACTTTGTATAAATGGAATTGTATAGACATTGTATCTGCTTTTTGACTTAACATATTTTTGAGGTTCATTTATGTTGTATTTATCTGCAATTCATTCTTTTATTAATGACTAGCATCCCACTGTATGAATATACCTGATTTTGTTTATTCATTCTGCTGTTAGTAGACATTTGGGTCATTTCAAGTTTTTAGCTGTTGGATATAAGGGTGCTGTAAATATTATTCTATAAATATTTTTGTCCATGTGTTTTTACTTATGTTGGGTCAATACCTAAGAATGAAATTGATGGATTATATGATTAACTTTATAAGAAACTGTCAGTTCTCCAAAGTGGGTATACACTCCAACTGGCAATGTATGAAAGTTTTGATTTATATTTTTAAAAATTTTTCTTGCCCGTGAAGCCTGAATTTTAATGGAGCAAGGGGGAAAGCGGAGAGACAAGTTAGGAAGTTTTGCACAGTCCAGGTGAGAGGTGATAGTGTCTTGGACTAATACGGAAGTAGAGGAAGTGAAAAGAAGGGGTTGGGTTTGACATATGTTTTGTAGGTAAAGTTAGCAGGGCTTGTTGAAGGATGAGGTAAGGAAAGATAAGTGAAATGGCCGACTTAATGCTAACACCTACGTATGTATCATGAGCAACTGAGTAGCTGTTCATGCCATTTACTAAGATGAGGAGATGATTAGAGAAGAGAGCAAGCCGAGGAAGTAGTGATAAACTAGGAGTTGTATGTTGGATGTATTTTTCACAGCCTATTAGACATCTGAGTGGAAATTTCAAATAAACAGTTGGATATGACATGTTTGAACTTCAGGAGAGAAGTCAGAACTGAAGATTAAGGTTTTCTAAAGTGGTAGAACTGGATTAGACTAACCAGGAAGTGATTGTTGAAAGCGAAGAACCTAGGGCTGTACCCTTTAGCTCACCAACATTTAGAAATATAGCAAAGAATAGGAAGAATCAGTAATATCTGGGAAACATGTCAAGGAAGTCAAAATTATGAAATGTTTCAAGAAGGCAATATCCAGTTATGTTCAAGGTGCTTAAGAAGTTAGAAAAGTGAGGCTGGAGAAATAATTTTTGGATTTGGCAAGTTGGAAGTTATTGGAGACCTTAAAGAATTTTGGTGGAGCCCTGGCTCAGTAGCTCAGTTGCTTAAAGCATGGTCCCAATACACCAAGATTTGGGTTTGATCCCCAGTCAGGGTACAATAAATTTTTTTTAAGGAATTTTGGTGGAGTGATGGGTTCAGAAGCTTACCTTTGAGTACAACACAAAAGATGAGAAAATTGAAGCAAGTATAGATATCTCTTTCAGGAAGCTTTGTGTGTGTGTGTGTGTTTGTGTGTATGTGTGTGTGAAGGGGAGTTGATAAATGGGGCAATAGCTGGAGGTGAATGTGGAGTCAAGGAAAGGTTTTCTTTTTTTCTAAAGATGGAAGATATACATGGCATCTCCCTTACTCTTTCCCATCCCCACTAAATTTGAACCATCACTAAGTTCTACTTATTTTACCTCACAAATCGCTCAAATCTGTCTATTTGTCTCCACTACCGCTGCCACCACCTTACCCAAGTTATCGTCTCCCACATGGACTACTGCAATAGGACTTACAACTGATCGCTACCCTTATTACCACCCTTTTTTAATCCCTTCTCCACATTTAAACCAGACATTGTCTGAATACAAATCTAATCAAGTGACCCCACCCTTGCACACAATCCCTATTATATTATAAAGAACTTCCCATTATTTTTAGTATGAAGACAAAACAACATGACTTTTAAATCCCTGCATGGTCTTCCCATGCATATTCCCCAATTTCATCTTCCACTTTCCCTCTTGCTTTCTGTGTTCCTCCTACCTGTTCTAAAGTGGCCAGTGGGTATTTGGACTTGATATTCTCTCTGACTAGAATATTCCTACTACTACATCTCCCCTCCTCCATCACGCTCTATCTAATAACTACTACTTTTTCTTCAGATGTCCAATTCAATCATCTGTTCCTCAGAAAAGCCTTCCCTGACCTCTCTAACCACATTAATTTGCTTTGTTATATTGTACTCACACAGTACCAAGTAGCTTTCCTTGATAACACTTTCCACACTTCTAATTTTTCACTTTTTCGTGATTATTTTATTGTCTGTCTTCCTTACTAGTGTTTAAGCTCCATGACAGCAACGGCAGTTCTATGAGGGTAGTCACTGTATTTCTTTTCTTTTGCCACTATATATACAACACCCAGCACAATGCCTGACACATAGTAAGTACTCAGAAAGTATTCATTAAGTAAGTTGAATTCAATGAATGAATGAACCCTAATTGTTAGTACCTCATTAAGTAACACAATATAACCTCTTTAATTAATTTGGAAATTCACTAGTATCTCTGAAAGAAGAAATGGCAGTTAACATTATTATTTAAATCATTGAGTTTAGAATGACTGTTAGAAACTACATTCCCTTATACATAACTGTCTTTGATCATCGGGGATTTTACTTGCTGCTTTATTATTTTAAACTCTTTCAAAATTACCTGCGGTTGCATGGGTAAATATCACAGATACTCTTCTTTTGTAAGTCATTAGTTTCAGTTCAGTTTCCTGCCACTTACCTTTGTCAGAGATATTATTAAACATAACATTGACTATTGAATTTCATTTCACTTAATTTCCTCTGCCATTAAGGGCAAAATTATGAAAAGATTACTTAATACTAAAGTCAATTAATTATCTCACAACCAGAAAGAAGGTCTTTCTTTCTGGTAATTAACCAACCAAAAACTCACAGTTACATATGATTTCTCTTATATGTGGAATCTAAAGAACAAAATAAACAAAAATAGAAACAGACTCAGGGAACAGACTGACAGTTGACAGAGGGGAGGGAGGATGGGGGCAGGGACCTCTGTGAAAAAGGTGAAAAGATGAAGAAATACAAATTGGTAGTTATAGAATAGTCACAGAGATGTAAATTACAGCATAGGGAATACAGTCAATAATATTGTAATAACTGTGTGTGGGGCCAGGTGGACACTTGAAATAGCGGGGAAACCACTGTAACGTATATGATTTTCTACCCACTATGCTGTACATCTGAGACCAATACAGAATAATATTGAATATAAGCTGTAATTAAAATTTTTTTAAAGATTTAAAAACTCATGGTTGCTCTTAAAACTGTAAATATTAACTCTGCATAAGAAGTAGCTTAATTTACATTGTACAAATAAAATAAATATAATAAAATCAGTAACATATGAGAAGCAAATATATAAGTTTATTCGTGCTTTTAAAAATAAATACAGGTGGAGGGACTGAGCAAAACGGAAATAGGACTCATGGACACGGACAACAGTGGAGTGGTTGCAGGGAGGAGGGGAGTACTAAGGGGTTAAATGGGAATGGAAAATATACAATAAAAATTTTTAAAATAATAAATATGTAGTAATACATTTATCCTGATTTTATACCCTTATTTATAACTATTATCAATAAAGTAATTCATTTTAATAATATTCTCTATAAAATATTTTTTCAGAGAAATATTTCAAAATTCCGAATTCAAAGCGACTGATAAAAGATGCAGCCAAGGACCATCAGAGGAGAAGAGTAAATCTCATTCTCAGTGTGTTTTTATTTCTCGAAATTTTCATACAGGACTATTTCAATTACAGGTAGAGTGCAATTTTTTCAAATAACTTTTTGATACCATGTCATTAGCATCATTGTCTTTCAATTTTATCTACTGTTATTTTTTTAACCTGAGGGACAATAACATGAGCTAAATTTAAATTACCCAAACTAGTTATAGCTTACATTATAGGACACTGAAAAACTAAATGAAAATATCTCCTTCACTAAATCTCTAGCCTGTGAACCTATGTTCTCCATATTGTTACTGTTACAGCATCCAGGATAGATGGCTAAGAAAAACAAAGCAACTTGCCAGGCCTATCAGAGGAAAGATAGTTGGAGATAAGAGGATACTCAGATAACCTGATAATCTACTGGAACCAACTAATAAATTAAAGCCTTTATCCAGCCCTTGTTATATTCTTGTATCCCACCCCCATTGTGGATAGTAAGATATGAACCCTACATTCAAGGTGCTAGTTGTTAGTGCAAGTGTAAAAGGCAGAAACCTAATTAATTCTTTGTTATATAAGTGTCAAAACACTGCTAAGTAAATAAGGGAGAGACCAGTAGAAACTTAAAAGTATATAACTAAACAAAACAAATAGTTTAGTGGTTTTATAAAATTAATAGTAAACTAGCAAAATGATAATATGTGAAAATGATAAAATGATAAAATGATAATATGATTCATTATACATCTTGAATACTGAACTCAAGTTGAACTCAGTGTTCCTTCATTTAACAAACATTTTTTGAGCGTCTTAAATGTGACAATACTAGTTTTGGCACTGAGTCTACATAAATAAGACATGAGTCCAGACCTAGATGATCCCAAAGTTAGTAGAAAAGAAAAACAAAAACATATAAACTAAAAAGTAGAATGATGAGAACCACAAAATTGAAGAAATGCAGACAAGGAAGCATAAATTAAGAAAGGTTTCACAGAGAAGACATTTTTAGCTGGGTTTTGAGAAGTGAATAGAAGTTTGCCAGGCAGGAAAACAAAGGACAATATGTCCAAAGTCTCGCAGCTGTGAAAGGAGTAGCATGTTGTTTGGCTTCTCCAGGCCACACTGGAAGAAGAAGAGTTGTCTTGGGCCACACATTAAGTATACAAACACTAACAAAAATTGATGAGCAAAAAAAAAGCTTTTAAATAAATGTATAGTTGTGTGTTAGGCCACAGTCAAAGCCATCGTGGGCTGCATGTGGCCCATGGTCTGCCGGACGGACACCCAATCTATAAAAGAGAGTGGTAGGAAAAGATCCTGGAGATGGCATTATGAGGAGCCTCATTTCCAGTTTAAGGATTTTGGATTTTACCTCATAGGCTCTACAGATCCACTGGAGGCATTATGGGATTATGATCAAGAGTATAAACTGAAGAGGTTAGAATCCTTGTTCTACCACTATTAGCTGTGTGATTTTAGGCAAGTTACTTGTCAGTCTCTCAATTTCCTCATTCGTAGTGCTAAATTTTAATTAAGGTGTTTATTATTTATTCATCAAATATGAATAAGTGCTTGTGTGCCAGGCACTGTTCTAGGCAACTGGAAATTTGCTCTCGTGAGATTTATAGTTTAGTGGGAGAGATAAATAATGTACAAGTAAACACAAATCATTCTTCAGGAGTCTCATCAATTTCTGTCTCTTTCTCTGTATTGGCCTCTTTCTCACTACAACAGACAAGCAGGAGGATGAAAATTATTCTTAAAATGTGGTTTGAATTAATATAGAACTATAGCTCAGTTTCTAAAAGAGCTTTTATTGTGTAATACAACCTACATAAAAAAATACACATGCAGTTTAAAGAATAATAAATGGAATTTTTATACTCACCACTCAGAATAAGAAATAGAGTATTACCAGTACCTTTGAATCCTGAGTCTTTATCTCTTATATCCTATACTCACACCCTTCACTGAAGGACCCACTATCCTGCAACTGTAATTAACTATTCCCTTGCTTTTCATTATGGTTTTACCACAAATGTTACAGATCCTTGAAGAGTGTATTATTAAATTTTATGTTTTGGGGCTCCATGTATAATATACTCTTCCCTTTTTGTGCAGTATTACATTTCTGAGACTCAACCCAATTGATGCATATACCCATAGTTTATTATTTTTACTGTTATATGGCATTCCATTGTATGAATATATCAAAATTTATGTTGTGGATGTTGGGTTTATTTTTAATAAAGATTTTATTTATTTTCAGAGAGAAAGGAAGTGAAGGACAAAGGGAGGGAGAGAAACATTGATTTGTTGCCTCTTGCACACCCCCAGCTGGGGATCTGGCTTGCAACCTAGACATGTGCCCTGACTGGGAATTGAACTGGTGACCTTTCAGTTTGCAGGCCAGTGCTCAATCCTCTGAGCCACACCAGCCATGGCTGAGTTGTTTTTAGTATTTTTTTTTTTTGCTTTTGTTTTTGTTCTTTTTAGGAAATTTCAATGAGGAATATATCTAAGAATAGAATTGATGACTTAGAGGGTATGTGCATGTTCAATATTATTAGATAATTCCAAATTGTTTTCCAAAGTAGCTGTATAAATATACATTTCTCCTAAGGCATGAATAGGTCAAGAATAGGTGCTAGGATTGCTCCATATCTTCAAAAAAGTATTGATATTATTACGCTCCTAATTTTTTGACAATCTGATGACTGTAATAGTATCTCACTATAGTTTTTCATAATAGAATTTATTTTTTGAACAGTTTTCAGTTCACAGCAAAATTGAGCAGGAAGTACAGAGTTCCCATCTATCCCTTGCTCACACCCTCCCCCACTATCAATATCCAGAGAGGCACATTTTTTACAATCAATAAACTTGTATTGACACGTCTTATCACCCAAAATCCATAGTTTACATTAGAATTCACTCTCATGTTACACATCCTATGGGTTTTGAGAAAAAATATGTATATGTATTATATATGATATATATTATATATGATATACAGGGTCCAGCACAAATAATGCCCCTTTTTTATTACAAAATCTTTCATTACAAAATGAGAGGTGTGTAATTCTGTAGCATAACAATATCACACTCAAGCACACCATATGACATTTTAGGTGAAATGTTCAAATTAAAACTATAAATTATTACACCCATATTATTACCCTACCTGTCACACTAAAGCAGCCCTTACTTCTGCCGGACCCTGTATATTGTCAAAATCATAGAACAGAGAGAGACAGAGACAGACAGAGACAGAGAGAAAGAGACAGAAGGACAAGATGGGAGGATAAGGGAAGAGAGGGGCAGAGATCCACCATTATAGTATCATACAAAATAGTTTCACTACCCTAAAAATCTTGTTGTTCTTTGCCTGTTCATTCCTTCCTCCTCTCTAATCCCTGGCAAGCACTGATCATTTTACTGTTTCCATAGTTTTATCTTTTTTAGAATGTCATATAGATGGAATCATATCGCATGTAGCCCTTTTAGATTGGCTTCTTTCACTTAGTAATATGCATTTAAGGTTCCCTGACTTTTCAAGGCTTGAAAGCACATTTCTTTTTAGTGCTGAATAATATTCCATTGAATAGATATACCACAGTTTGCTTATCCTCTCCCTTACTGAAGGACATCTTGGTTGCTTCCAAGTTTTGGCAATTATGAATAAAGCTGCTATAAACGTTCATGGGCAGATTTTTGTGTGGACATATATTTTCAATTCATTTGGGTAAATACCAATGATCATAATTGCTGGATAGAATGGTAGGAAGTGTTCAGCTTTGTAAGAAACTGACAAACTATCTGCGAAGCTGGCTGTACCATTTTCCATTAACACTAGCAATGAAAGGGAGTTCCTTTTGTTTCACATCTTCACCATCATTTGCTGGTTAGTGTTTTGGATTTTCACCATTACGATAGGAATATTTTGTATTTTGTGGTTTTAATTTGCATTTCCCTAATGACATAAGATGTTGAACATCTTATTATGTGTTTATTTGCTGTCTGTATGTCTTCTTTGATGGGGTGTCTGTTTCAATCTTTTGCTCATTTTTAATTGGGTTGTTCATTTTCTTGTTGTTTTAAGAGGTTTTATATATTTTTAACAACAGTCTTTTATTGGCTATATCGTTTGTAAATATTTTTACCCAGTCTGTGACTTGTCTTCTCATTCTCTTGATGTCTCACTATAGTTTTAATTTGTATTTTCCTGCTAAAAAGCTAGGTGATTGTTTTTTCTAAAGTTCATTGGCCATTATGGTTGTTTCTTATGTAAAATGCCTGTTCAAATCTTGCCTCTTTTTCTATAAGTTTGTCTTTAAATTATAAAACTTTAAAAGAATTATTTATTCTGGATGACTAATCTTTTGTCAGTTATGTTAATTTCTATGTCTCCATACAATTTGTGGCCTTCCTTTGCACTATTTTTATGACATGTTGTGATGAACAAAAATTCTTTTATTTTTAATGTAACCTAATTTCTCAGCCCTTCCTTTTAGATTTATTATTTCCTTCATTATTCCAAAGTCATAAAGATACCCTTCTATATTGTTTTCTAAGAGTTATATATTTTTAACTTCATAGGTCTTTAATCATTCTGGAATTGATTTCTGTGTTTGGTGTAAATAGGAGTCCAATTTTAAATTTTTTCTTATCTAGTAGCATTTACTAAAATTATTTTGGAATTTCAAGGAGAACTATGATGCAGTTTTAGACCAATTTAGGAAAAACTGATTCTTTATTAAGTTTCTAACCCATAAACATGATACTTCACTGTATTTACATGTCATCTTTAATATCTTTCAGTAAAGCTTTATAATTACCTTCATAAAAGCCTTGCACATCTTATATTAACTTTTATTACAGGAAAATTTATGTGTTTCTGCTTTTGCATGTGATTTTTAAGTAAACTCTTTATTTAGGAATAATTTTAGATTTATAGAAAAATAGCAAAGATAATATTATAGAGTTCTACTATACCTTTCACCCAGTTTATCCCAATGTTAAAATCTTAAGTTATCATGGTAGATTTGTCCAAACTAAAAAACCAACATTGGTACATTACAATTAAC